GTGGGAGAACTTGCACAATTGGTGGCTGACTAAATACTTTTTTGCCCCACTGTATGTGGCTTGGCCTGTTTATTGGCCTCTGGAGCAGCGGCCCCCCACCCCCCCAACCTTTAAAAGAGCATTAAAACACGGTTCTTCCCGCAGGCCTCTGGTTATGGTGGGGGGGGGTTCAATCTGTTCTTATCTCTGTAGGTGCAGAGAGGGTTGGCTGGTGCTCCTTCTGGATGATGCTGTCTCTGGGGGCTTTATTTCAGGTTTTTTGCTGTTTTAATGTTAAGCCACCCAGCGTCACTGGAATTGGGCAGTCTAGAAATTTGAAATATAAGTAAGCAGGCCTGGACTGAGGGGGCGGTCAAGAAACTTGGTGCCATCTTTGCCCCAAATGAGGAAAAGGACCGGCCCCAAGGAAATGCCTCTTCTGCCTGTTCTGAGAGTCCCTTCTGCGGGTGGGGGGGGGCAGTAGGGGCTGGTCTTAGGGGCTGCCCAGTCCCTCCCAAAGGGTCTTGCAAGAAGCAGAGCAGCTTTGATCGCTGGACATTCTTCTGACTGGGCCAGTCCAGATCTGGGAGGGTGGAGTGGGGCGCTATTTGGGGGCTTGCTGCTGCCACTGGATGCCTGCTGCCCCATGCCAGAGGCAGGCCTGAATGACTTTGCAGGGTTATGGGTCCCTTCCTTGGGGCTTCTGGTAGCACGCGGGAGGGTCTGTGGCCTTTATTGGGAAGGGGGGTTAGATGGGAGAGGCTGCCCCAGTCAGACTAGTGGCCTGGAGAGTGGAATCTGGGGGGGAGGGCAGAAACTAGGCTTTCCTGCCCCCTGCTAACGCTTTGGTGCCCGCCCTTCTCTTCCTTGTGCTTCACTTTGGGATCCAGGGAAAGGTAAGGCCCTGTGCCAGCTCCCCTTCTCCCGCCGCTGCTTTCTGTTCAGCAGGGACTTCCCCTGCTGGAATGAACCGTTCAAAATGGCTTGCACCCACTGCCTGTTGGGCAGCGATCCCACGGGGGCCAACCTCTGACCTGGCATCCTGCTGCCATCATTCTCAACCTGGCATCTCTCTTCCAGGGAATTTGCATACGTGGCACAAGACCAGTTGGCTCAGATGCTGAAATGCCACGTCTTCCGGTGTGATACACCTGCCAAGAATATTGCCACCAGCCTCCATGAAATCTGCTCCAAGGTCATGACCGCCCCCCCGCCCATCCCATTCCCTCTTCCTTTGCTGGCTCCCAGCCCCCCCGTCCCGTTTCTTCTGGGGGAGTCCCAAGCGGCTCCTGGGAGGATTGGCCCCAGAGATGCCTCCCTCTGGGGCCAGGCACCCTCCTCAGACCCACTCTCCCAGCTCTAATGCCGCTGGGGGGCAGCACTTGCGGGCTTGTGGGAACCAGCCTGACCTGTGTTGGGGGCGGAAGGGTCTGACCCGGCGCTCTCCTCCAGATCGCGACAGAGCGGCGGAGCGCACCAACCTTACTAAACAGGCTCTCACTGGATCCGTCCAAGATGGTGGAAATCCCCTTCCAAGGTAGACGGTGGGAGTAGAGGGGGACCCGAGGAGGGGGCTCAGGGGCTCCTTGCCTTGAATCCAAGCTCTTCGTACCAGCCCTCCCCTTGGGGGCAGGAGGGGGCATCAAGCTTGCATCCCATCATCCCTCGTTTGGAGGGGAAGCATCAGAGGGGTCACAGAGAGCCCATATCCACCCTGGGTGCGTGGGTGGGTGGGGGGTCGTGCAGGTAGACTACTGCTGCTCTGTGCCCTCTTTCTTTTCCCCAGTTGAATTTCCGGCACCCAAAAGTGAATCGATCCAGAAATTCCAGGTTTACTATTTGGGGAGTGTTTCCGTGGCCAAGCCTGTGGGTAAGAGAAGTCTGGGAAGAGGTGGGGCAGTTTGCTTCTGGATGAGATCCCAGAGAGGCCAGACGCAGGTTTTTGCGAAGAGGCACGAGGATTCAGGTGGCTTCCGATCCCAGGCGTCTTGCGGTGGAAAAGTGGCAGAGCCAACCTTGACCTGTCCAATCTCGGCCACCTCATCGCGATTCCTCGAATGAACCCACCCTTTCTGCATGGCTATCCCGCTCCGAGTGTGGCCCAAGAAGCCCCTCCCAGCTTCCTCTGGGCTGGGCCCTCCCAGCACCCTCCTCCTGTGATTGGGTGCTCGTTGGCTGCACATCACTTCCTCCCATCATCCGTGGAGGCCGCCAGCTTTGGAGGCAGGCTGCCTCCTTCAGAAGGTCTCCTATGGTGCTCTGTTCTGCTGACCTAGCGCCCATTTCCAGAATCTCTGGCCCGCTTCTGCTTTTCTCTTGAAGTCAGCTTCTCCAAAGGCTGGCCCTTCTGCTTGCGTGACTCCGAGAGGGAGAACCTTCCTCCTTGTTTGGGGTCAAGTCCAGGAGATCAGATCTCACTGGTCTTTCACACACCCCTTTGAGTGTGGAAGTTGCCCATGCGGCAAGCCAGAAACTTGACGAACGTTGCGTTTTAGCAGTTGGCCCTGCAGATACTCCCTCCCATCCCGCAGAATGGTGGCATCTTCCCTGGTGAGAATTCTGCCCTCCGTACCGGGAAAGCACCCGTGCCATCTTCAGTCTGGGGAGGGGGTGCTCTGTATTGCAGTTCTCGTTTCTCTCTTGGCCCCTGCTGAATCCCAGGATGTGCAGAAATCACAGCCATCCCCCTGGCTTAGCTGCTCCTGACGGGGCCCTCCTGGCTCTGCCTCTGCCTCACCCGGGCCCTGCATCGTTGCTCAGTCGCATCTGCCTGGGACTGTGCATGCTCACGAGCTGTGGCCCCTTGCCTGCTCCCGTGAGACCGTCCCTGCTTTGCTTCCCCAGGCATGGAGGTCATCAACACCGCCCTCGAGGCGGCCCTGGCAACTGGCAGCAAAGAGCAGTGGGCACCCGCTCAAGTCAGCGTGGCACCAGCCACCCTCACCCTCACCCGTCAGCAGGTAACTATGGTGGAGGCTGCTTTGGGGAAGCCGTGGGAGGGGTTGGGAGCTCGGCACCCCTCAATCCTGCGTGGGCCTGTCCCGACTCCTGCCTTTCCCTCCAGACTGACACCGTGCTCTGTGAGTGCCGCGTGCGCTTCCTCTCCTTCATGGGCATTGGGAGGGACGTCAGGTCCTTCGCCTTCATCATGGCTGCTGCGGCTGGCAGCTTCCGCTGCCACATGGTCTGGTGTGAGCCCAATGCTGCTGGGTTGAGCGAAGCCGTGCAGGCCGCTTGCATGGTAAGTCACTCTGCTCCCCGCCCGGCCCCTCGGTTGGCACGGCTCTGCACGCTGCCAGCAGCAGAAGGGCAGCGGGGCTCCTGGCTTGGCCAGGTCTGCGGTCTGCTGGTGGCTGTGGCTGGCCACTCCTGCGCACCTCCCACCAAGCAGCCACACTTCCACATTCCTGTCCCACTGACGACTACCCGCAGCCCAACCTTGCCCTGAGCAACCCTGTTGCTGGAGAAACAGGGAGTGCAGGACGTGGCTGCAAGGATCGTGGCCCTTCTGTCCTCTGCCACCGGTGCCAATAACAGCACCCACCTCGTCCCTCCTTTTCAGCTTCGATACCAGAAGTGCTTGGACGCTCGGCCCCAAACCACCACCAGCTCCTGCCTCCCGGCCCCCCCTGCCGACTCTGTGGCTCGCCGGGTGGGCTCCACGGTTAGGAAGGGCATCCAGGCCCTGCTGGGGACCCTCCAACCCAAGCGGCAGGGGGCCCCGACCCCATGAGCACCAGGCAGGCAAGGGGAATCTGCCCACTGACCCTGGACCCAGGATGCAACCAGCGCCACTGGCCCTTGCAGATCAGCCTTGCAGCTGCCCCAGTGCGTGTGTGTTCTGCATGACAGCGAGTGCGAGAGATGTACTCATCGGGTGCGTGAAACGTGTGGCCTCCATACTAGTTGGAGGGAGGGTTCTGATCGAGGGCAGCTGTGCTGCGGCTGCCGGCCCTGGTCCCTGCCCCGGTGGGCCCTGGAATTAACGGGCCTTCTGGCTGGGGCCGCTGCAGAGGACCTTGCTGGTTTCTGACCACGCACTGGGGAGGCGGGCATGGTCCCAGCACCCCGCTGCTTGCCCGGGAGCACAGTGGGGGGTGGGGGGAGAGCTGCTGCTGCTGCTGCTGCCATTGCAAGAACTCTGTCTTGTACTAACCACGAATAAACTCTGTTCCAATGACCTCTGAACATCTCTGGCATGGTGCTGTGGTGGGAGAGAAAGGGAGCTGGCCCTCTGGCAGTGGTGGCCCTGGCAAAGGGAGAACTTCGCCTCCTTCCCAGAGTTTAAACAGAGCTGCCAATGTCCCTCACCCCACCCCAGAAGCTGCTGGAGTCCAGCTCCTGGGCTGGAGGCACTGGTGGCCTGATGGGACAGAGAACTCCTTCCAATGGGGGGCAGGAAAGGAAGAGCTTGGCTTCCCTGGCATGAGCTATGGTCAGGGTGGAAAGAGGGTTAGCCCCTTTCTTCTCCCTCCCTCCCTCCCTCCCCCCCCCCC